TGAGATCGTGACCTGGCTGAAGTCGGACGCTTAACCGACTGCGCCACCCAGGCGCCCCTGTAACTGCATTTTTATAGTTTAATAGTACTCCTGGTGAATGGTAATGGCATCTAGATTTTAATTCTCTAACCCATGGTAAATGCTGCGATAGACTTCTTTTCCCCTTATGTTAGAACTCTGTAAGGTACAGTAAGTTTTAAAAAAAATAAAATGTTTGTGTGCCTGGGTGGCTCAGTTGGCTAAGCGTTCGACTCTTGATTTCGGCTCAGGTCATGATCCCCATGGTTGTGAGATGAAGCTTCACAATGGGGCTCCCCATTGAGCATGGACCTCGCTTAAGATTCTCCCTCTCCTCTTTCTGTCCCTCCCCGACTTGTGCTTGCATGCTTTTTCTCTTTCTCAAAAAAGAAAAAAGAAGTGAAATGTTGCAACACTGCATGTTAAGTATACAGGAATTTTTAAAAAATAAAACTATTTTTTAAAAGTGAAATGTTGGCAGCAGCTGATTACAAAGGGTCTCTTCTTTAATTGAGCATGGGATTCTGAGGATGCTTGTTTCAGCTGAAATTTCAAATCGTTATTTACATGGTGTTTGGATCATCTGTGGATCCCTTGGGAATTACAGTAAGACTATAGTTGTCCCAACAAGTATATCTATTTTCTGAATTGTTTTCACTTAAATTCTTCCTGTCTCCTATTTCTTAATCTAGTATCATACTCCAGTAATGATACCTACATCCCAATAAATAGTATAGATATTTTTTAAATGCTGATTACAGAATGAAGGACAAACTTTTAATGGCTTCACATCCTGTCTGTGTAAGTCACTGGTTTATAGGTAGAGTTACTCTTAACATGAAACCACAGATATTTAGTAAACACTAAGTTGGAGTTTATCCTTAGCTTGGAAAAGTAACGCATCTTGCAGTCACTAAAGCATCTGGAGGTACATTTTGAGTATCACTTGAGAGTTGTGTACTCTAGGATTGCTCTGAAAGTACTTCTAATAGACACAAAGCTTGACTTCATTTTGGCTTGGTAAGATAGACGGTTTGACTTGTAGGAACTTGCAGCCTCAACTGTTGACACAAGTGTACACGGGTAAATACCAGCCCGTCCCTCTTAGGATCGTGCCTAATCCACTGCTACAGGCGGTAAATGGCCCACTTCACAGAAGAGAGGGCCAGAAGGGGAACAGTTTCACGAAGCTCCTGGAAATCTAGTTGCCTGTGGAGTTGGTGTTTTACTAACATTTATTTTATTTTATTTATTTTTTTTTTTAATTTTTTTTTCAACGTTTATTTTTTTTATTTATTTTTGGGACAGAGAGAGACAGAGCATGAACGGGGGAGGGGCAGAGAGAGGGGGAGACACAGAATCAGAAACAGGCTCCAGGCTCTGAGCCATCAGTCCAGAGCCTGACGCGGGGCTCGAACTCAGGACCGCGAGATCGTGACCTGGCTGAAGTCGGACGCTTAACCGACTGCGCCACCCAGGCGCCCCACTAACATTTATTTTAAATATATGTGTCACTTGGACTGTGACATGGCTCCGTTTTTATGGGTCTGTATTTATGTTGGGAATTGTTCTTCAAAACGATTAGCCTCCTGCACCTAGTTAATTCTAGGCTTACTGGATTGTGGCCCAGAAGTCATGCAGTCTAAGTTTATCTCCTATTTAATCTCCGCTGCCTTTTGTGTGTGGGTCTCTGATGATACAGTAAACAAATACATTTTATAAGTCGGTCTTAATATCGGGGCACCTGGCTGGCTCAGTCAGTTAAGCACCCGACTCTTGGTTTCCGCTCAGGTTGTGAGTACAAGCCCCGCATCAGGCTCTGTGCTGACAGTGCAGAGCCTGCTTGGGATTCTCTTTCTGCCTTCTGCCCACCCCCCACTCATGCACACACGCTCGCACTCTCGCTCTCAAACTTAAAAAAAAAAAAAAATGTTGTTAATCTTGATATTCAAATTAATTGGAATTTTTAGGAAACTAGGAACATTCTAACTTTTGTCATCGTAATACTTTAATACGTATCATATACTCACTGGTCATTTTGTGTTAACAAACCCATATTTAATTACTTAGTCTGAACTGCAGTTACTCCTTTTGTCTTTTTTTAAGATAATATCTGTAGTTAAAAATTTGGTTTTTGGTAACATTTATATGAATTACATGAGTTCTAATGCCTTCTTTTATTTTTCAGGATACTATTTTTGAGACAACAAATTAAGGAACTCGAAAAGCTAAAAAATCAGAATTCCTTCATGGTGTGAAGATGTGAATAATTGCACATGGTTTTGCGTACAGGAACTGTAAATCTCTATTGCCCGATCTTAACATTTTTGAGCTGCATTTAAGTAGACTTTGGACCGTTAAGCTGGGCAAAGGAAATGACAAGGGGATGGGGTCTGTGAGAGTCAATTCAGGGGAAAGATACAAGATTGATTTGTAAAACCCTTGAAATGTAGATTTCTTGTAGATGTATTCTTCACGTTGTAAATATGTTTTGTAGAGTGAAGCCATGGGAAGCCATGTGTAACAGAGCTTAGACATCCAAAACTAATCAATGCTGAGGTGGCTAAATACCTAGCCTTTTACATGTAAACCTGTCTGCAAAATTAGCTTTTTTAAAAAAAATTTGGGGGGTTAATTTATCATTCAGAAATCTTGCATTTTCAAAAATTCAGTGCAAGCGCCAGGCGATCTGTGTCTAAGGATACGATTTTGAACCATATGGGCAGTGTACAAAATATCATGAAACAACTGTTTCCACACTTGCACCTGATCAAGAGCAGTGCTTCTCCATTTGTTTTGCAGAGAAATGTTTTTCATTTCCTCAGTGTGTTCCATTTCCCTCTGAAATCCTCGATCTGATTTTATCCATTTTTTTTAAGGCTCCTCTTTTTCTCCTTTCTTAAGGCACTGTTGCTATGGCACTTTTCTATAACCTTTTCATTCCCGTGTACAGTAGCTTAAAATTGCAGTGATTGAGCATAACCCACTTGTTTGTATAAATTATTGAAATCCATTTGCACCCTGTAAGAATGGACTTAAAAGTACTGCTGGGCATGTGTGCTGAAAGTACATTGATTGCTCAACTAGAAAGAAATGGCCCAATGAACATGGTTGTGGGAGGGGAAAGAGGAAACAGAGCTAGTCAGATGTGAATTGTATCTGTTGTAATAAACATGTTAAAACAAACAAAAATTGTTATTTTTCTTTTCCTTCGGTCAATGCATATTAGAAATTGAACTACCTGGGGATTCTTTATCAGAACTATTCTTGTTGAATATTTATACTTAATTGAAATAATTCCTTAAGGGAGGTTTTGTTTAAAGCATATTAACAGGAAATTGTGTATAAGATATTTAATGAACTAAGAAATTCAACAAGAATGATTAAGTCACTTCCCAAGTGGTTGTCATTTGTTATAAACCCTGGTTTAACCTGTCTTGCTATTATGACATTTCATTTTGAAGGATGTTTGTGTTGTAGCTAACTGTTCAAGTCTGGTGCTGACTGCTGTTCTTAGCCATCACAAAACGCTAAATTTGTGTCATTGGAGCTTCCTTCTGTTACCTGGAAATGGTGGGAAAGCTCAGCTTTGTATATTGTTTCCTAAAGTATATTAAAATAAAAAAAGAAACTATTGCTACTATAAAATTACCTTGGCTTTTTTTTTTTTTTTCTTTTCTAAAATATTGGTCACATGGCCTTAGCATGACACTGCCAGTATTCTATCAAATCACAAGGGTTTCTTTATGCAGAAAATTTAATTTCAATTTCAAAAATCTTAACCGATTTAGAGACTTTTTTCCTATTGAGGCAGATGTATTTATGTGCTTTCAGAACTGCCAGCACCAAGGGCTTATTTTGTGATGTTAGACATGTTGCATTCTGGGATACGAAAATTCCAAAATTGCTCTTGTGCTTTAAGCATATTTAAAGTATAGAAGATAATGCTCAAACCTTTCAGTAAACTTTAAAAAAGTAAACTGTAAGTGATAGTATGGATGATACTTTCTAAAATACATAAATGTTCCGGTGTAATTAAGAGGAATCACAGTCTTCTACTGGAAACTGATTTTTTTTTGTTGTTGTTGTAACTTGAGCTTCCTTTTAAAAATGTAAGAAAAGACGACTGTCAAATTCTATCCTCATGGAATGTTCATACCTGTAAGATTGTTAACATTTGCTGGGCTTGATTAGTGCATGTAAATGAAACTCCAAAGGGCAATGTTAAGCGAGAACTCTTAACTGATGGAGTCCTGTATCTTTCCTGGAAAGAAGTGAGCAGTTTGTGATGTAGTAGGCGAATGTTTCCTGGTCAGATGGCAACTTGACTTGTGGTTTAAGGTAAATTGGAATTTTATTTGCTAATAGTTTATGGATCTATGTCACCTTATTCATTTGCTTTGAAAAAATGTTTACATCCCTAAATGAATTGCTCACATATATATATATAGGAGAAGATGCCTAATATGAAATTTCCTGGTGAATTTTTAAACAATTAAAATTTTTGTGGAAATATTTTTACAATATTTGATTCACTTATTATTCTGTAGTAAATTATCTCAATCATTGTGTTTAATACATTGTGTCCAGCTACAAACCTTCTTGAGATAACCAGGGAGTATTTCTTAAGATAGGCATGATACCCAAGAAGATTCTTCATACAGTCGGCCTGTTGCCATGGCTTGGAACACGTATCTCATTTTGATGGGCACCTTGGCTCAGATAATTTGAAAATAAGAATGCAAAGAGTCCCTAGGAAACCTCAGGGTTTTTATTTTAAAAGGACATTAGCAGTCTTCTATTCAAACCTTAAAAACTGGTGTCGTAATAAAACGTATTTTGTGAAGGTGAGTCTGTTAGGAAGTCTTTACCCTGAAGAACCAGATTTCCTACTTTTACATTGTTTTCTGTTTAACTAGTTTGACTAATTTTTCATTTCAAACCTTGGACTATGACTCCAGATTTTAAGCACACTGAAAACTCCATTCTTCAGCTCTTTTTAAAGACCTGATGCTTCTTTTAATAACCCAAACGAATGGTTTTATCTTCTCAATTTTATATACATTTCACACTTCTGAAACCTTGGAAAGGAGGTGCTTAAAACTTTGCAAAGTGAATTGTTATCCCATTTCCAACAATCTATTGTTTAAACATAACTAGCTTTAAGGGATTATTTCAAAGGGGGGGGCACAAAGTAATTTATTCTGCAAACCGGAACTATTGTAGTTGAGGACTTAAAGCTACTGTATTTAGATGTGGGTTTTGAATATACGGATTTCTTTTCAATACCTGTATATATGGCTATATTCTTGTATTTGTACTGAAGTGTACAAAATGACACTTAAAGTAATAAATATGTTTTGACTATATTGTGCAGTTATTTCAGAACAGTCTTTTGAAAGTCTTAGTCTTAGAGTGCATAATTTGCATTTGAGTAAGAAAATACCAAATTACTGCAAAAGTTTTACTACGATTCAGTAGTTTCCATATAATTTAATTGCACTCTTTTGATGAAAAATTTAGCTTAATCTTTTGAGGTCTTGAGATCCTCTTCTAATTTGCTGTACCCTTTTTTCCTGACCTCTGAGTTTTGGGAGTGCCCTGAAAGTACAGTCTGCCTAGGTGATCTCATCTTGGCCCTTGGCTCTGAGAATCCCAATCTTCGGTCAGTTTCATCCACATTAACCTCCAGTCTTGAACCCTTCAGCTCCAAACAGCAGTCAGTGTAGATACTTGCCTTAACGTGGCGAATTCTCAAAAAAAACAAAACAAAACAAAAAGCCTTGTGCCTCAGACTTCATTCCCTAGTGTCCCCATTTTCAGTAATTGATCCTGTCATTCCCCATTGCTTGAGACCCAAACGGAGGAAGCATCCTTTGTCTAGCGCCCTGTATTTAATCCATCAAACCTGGTCTCCAAAATATATTTTGGATCTGAGCGCTCATTACCTCCATGTTTACAACTCTATTCTAACCCACGATCATCTATGAACCAACCAGACTGCTGGCATGATTGCCTAGTCCGCTTACCGCCACCACCACCACACGTACCCAGTCTGTTCTCTATGCCAGAGAGAAATGAGAAGCATGTATCATTCTGGTCGATGAGTTCACATACAACAAAGTCCAAACCTCTCCCTGTAGCTTGTGCTCAAGGCCCTGAATACCCACTAGATTCTCCCTCTCACTGCAGTCTCACCTCAGGGTTTTTAAAATATCTGGCTGGAAAGCTCTGTTCTTGGAGACTTGTACAGCTTGCTGCCCATTCAGTCTCTTCTCGAAGGACACACAGAAGCCTGTTCTGACCTCCCATCTAAAAACCCCGTCACTGTTTGTTCATTTTCTTCGAGAGAACAGTGTCTGATACGTAGGAAGTACCCCAGAAATACTTGCTGAAAGGGATTAAGAAAAAGGGCTATGGAAAAAAATCAACTTACAATTTGTAAAGAAACTTTTTCTTCAAGGGTTTTGATTTTGGTCCTTACACCCTGGGAGATAGGCATGAAACAGCAACTAGCTTTTTTTTTTTTTCTTTTCTCTTTCTTCCTTTATTTCTTTTCTTCTTCCCTTCCCTACCTTCCTTTCTTTCCTTTACTGCAACTTACTACTGGTTACCAAAACCTAACTCCGTACCTGTTTTTATTGTGAAATGTGCTCTCTAGACACGTTTAATCAACGGAACCAGTAATCATTAGAGGCCCCTCAAGGTAGGGATGCTTTCACAGGCCTGTTTGGTTCGGATGACGCCTTTACATCCAAGGAAACCATTCCGACTTTTTAGGACAAGGGTGTAGGCAGAAAACATTTGACAACACTCTAAGATGTGTCACAGAACATCTGTACTGCGTGTATATATCCTACAGGAAAATGGCTGGGGTGTGGGAATGGCCTGCCTTTATGACAGGTGGGAAGATTTAAGATTCACAGGCCCTTGACACCATTGTATGCACTTTATAAACAGGATCTTTTTCCTTTTTTAAGGTGGGTACCATCGCTTAGTTTGATCATCCTATGTGGCTGTGTTAGCATCACAATACGTTTTCTTATCCCTTTTAGGTAGTTACAGGATTATTACCTTGGATGTGAAAGGCAGAATGCAAGCACAAAATTGGGTCTTTTGCATTTTGTCTACCTCCCAAACCTAGAAAGGTCAGCACATAGTGGCTGCTCAGAATTTTTGTATGAGTGAGTGAAATACACATTTTAAATATTTTCTCTGTTAAGTTTGCTCAAATTTGTATTTAATTTTTAGGCATAATGTTTTCAAAAATATTTTTTAAATTAAAAGTTTGTTACTAGAGGGGGCTCCTAGGTGGCTCAGTCGGTTGAGCGCCGAACCCTTGATTTCAGCTCAGGTCATGATCTCACGGTTCATGAACTCAAGCCCCACATCAGGCTCTGCATTAACAATGCGGAGCCTGCTTGCGATACTCTCTGCCCCTCCCCCACTCACACTTTCTCTCTCTCTCTCCCTCTCTCTCTCTCTCCCTCTCTCTCTCTCTCTTCCTCTCTCTCTCTCTCTCAAAAATACATAAACTTAAAAAAACTATTAGGGGCGCCTGCCTGGCTCAGTCAGTGGAGCATGTGATTCTTGATCTTGGGGGTAAATTCAAGCCCCATGTTGGTTGTAGAGATTAGTTAAAAATAAAGTCTTGAAATTATTGACTAGAGCTTTGAATAGAGAGTCAGTCACTCTGAAGCTTCGACAAGCCTCTTGCCTAATGTTTTTTTTTCATTGATGCCATGAATATCATCTTAATAACTAAAACTGTTAAAATGATAACATTTTACCATGGTTGGACATGAGCTCTAATTTTTAAAACACCAGTGAGGTCTCGGGCTACATCTCTCTATACCAGTTTCAGAAGCCCAAAACTTCCAAAGATACCATGTAAAAACACTGACAACGGAATTGGAGGATAAGATAGCTGATGAAATTTCACCCAACGCTTAACAAAAGTATTTAAAGAGGCAAAATATTTCTCCACAAACATCAAAACAATGAAAGAAACAAAACTTCTATGATCTTTGAAAGGTGATGGAGAGAACGGAAAATAGAAAATTTTGGTATAATTTACCACGTTAAATGATCCCCAAATTAGTGAGGGTTCAGTCAGAAAATAGAGGTCACCTTGGTTATTTCAAAAGAGAGTTTGAAACTAATGGCGAATGAAAACAAGGCAGCCTTATTGGAGGAAATGTCAGGAGAGACCTGGGAAGGTAGAGGGAAGGGAGGGAGGGAGCAGGATCCAAGGAAAAGACAAAACTTCTGACCAAATGCCATGTGAAGCAGAGGGAGGGAGAAACCCAGACTTTCCCTCTTTTTGTCCTCTAGTTCTGCCTACGTTGGCAGAACTTACTCAGAAGCAAGAGGACGAGAGAGCTTGGGACAGTCCCTGCAATGCTGAGAAGGGTAGAGAATGAAGGGAGAAAAATGAATCTGAGGGCAAACCCCCAGCATAACCTC